CCCGGTTTGTCCCGGGCCCTGCCGCCATGCGGCTGGCTCTGGGGTGCGTGTGGCGCAGCCAAGAACGCCCCAGGCGGGTTCGGCCACTCGGGGTATTCCAGGGTCCTTTCTGGTGCCACGTTGCGGGTGTTGGCCCTCAGCAAAGGTGTGGGGACCTGTTGGAAGGGCGCAGGGGATACCCTGGGGGAGACGGCAGGGGGAGGCTGGCTCGGTTCAGAGGGGAATACAGGGATCGGGAGGGGGGGGATGTGTGTGCCTGCGGGGTTTCCAGGCGTGACACCCCCGTCCTGCAGTCCCTCTGCCCAAGCAGAGAGGTGCGGTTTGCTTTCCCAGGAAATCCTCTTGAGGAATAGCGGGGAGAGGACAAAGTGGGGGGGGGGGAGGCAGATGGAGCAGGAGGCTTCTTCCTTCTCCTCTCTTGGCATCCTCTTGGCCCAGCTCCCGCCCTGGGCTGTGACCCCCAGACCTGCTGAGAAACCCCAAGATTTCTGGGCCCCTTTTTCTCGGCAACTGCACGCTCTGGATTCGAGGGCCCCACGGTCCCCGGTCTTCATCCACTGGGCTGTGCGTTGACTTTCCTTGTCTAGCCTTGGCCTGTCTGCAAAGCACCCAGATATGGTGACGCCTTTCCCCAGCCCCATAGCTCCAAAGGGCCTGAGTCTGCTCCTTGCTGGGAGCCCCGAGCAGTGCCGGGCATAGCGGGGCTGACCTCCAGGGCAGGAGACAGAATCGGGCCCGGCAGCCCAGTGCAGGATTGGGCCCCTGTGCGTTGACTTTCCTTGTCTAGCCTTGGCCTGTCTGCAAAGCACCCAGATATGGTGACGCCTTTCCCCAGCCCCATAGCTCCAAAGGGCCTGAGTCTGCTCCTTGCTGGGAGCCCCGAGCAGTGCCGGGCATAGCGGGGCTGACCTCCAGGGCAGGAGACAGAATCGGGCCCGGCAGCCCAGTGCAGGATTGGGCCCCGATCACCGGGGACGTCCCTGCACCCGATGCAAAGCCCACGGCAGCCCACGGGGCA